AGTGCAGCAGGGCCGGGTCCTGGCGGAACAGCTCGCGCAGGGCGGCGGCGCGGTCGCGGACCAGACGGCCGACCGTCGTGGCGCGGCGCGGCAGGACGGCCTGGACGGGCACCTCGGCGAGCGCGGGGCCCAGCGTCGCCTCGAGGCCGCCTGGGAGTGGTGGGGAGCGGCCCGAGAGCACGCAGCCGTAGGCCACCGACTCGGAGCCGGAAAGAGCCGAGGCCGTCAGGGCCCAGGCGGCCTCGACGAAGAAGGGCACGTGCGACTGCGGGACCGTGCCGTCGGCCACGCGCGGGAGCGGGATATGGCGCTCCGGCTCGGCGACGATGCGGGGCCGTCGGCGGTGTTGGCGTGCCGTCGCAGCTGGCGGCGGGAAGACGGCAGCTGTGCCTTGGAAGCGGCCGGCCCAGAACGAACGGGCGGCGGGCTCGTCGAGGGCAAGGCTCCGGGCCGCGAAGCTCTTGAAGGGAGGCCTGGCCACGATGCCCTGCTCCAAGTAGACGGAATGTATGTCCACGGTCAGCAGCGTCATGATGGACCAGTAGTCTATCACGGCGTGGTGGACCGAGGCGATGAAGGTCCGGCCGATGAAGACGGTGCGGAACAGCGACCGGCCGAGGCCCATGGGCTCGGCGTCGCTGTCTTCGAGATACAGACGAACCTCCTCCTCTTCGGACTTGCCTCGGTCGGCGGCCCGACGGGTCGTCACGTGCTCCCCTTTCAGCACGACCTGGACGATCTGGGGACCCCCGTCGCCGCCGTCGCCGTCTAGGAGCGCGAGGCGGGTGCGCAGCACGGGGTTGGCGGCGGCGACGTCCCGGGTCGCAGCGCAGAAGCGGTCGATGTCGCCCTCGGGCCCGGAATGTAGGATGAAGTGCAGCGCCTCAGCGCGGTCCTCACGTATCATGTCCAGCTGCATGGGCGTGCAGCTGTAGACGTCCTCGACGCGCCCCGGCTCCATGCCGCCGCACCTGGACGCCAGCTGGGCGACCTGGGCGTCGCTCAGGTCCGCCAGGGAGCTGATGATTCTTGGCGCTGTGTCCGGCATTTCTTCAATCTTGGTACAGATGGTGTGACTTGTTAGTGGCCGGGTAGACTTGCCGAGACTTTTGGGTTGGCAAGGCCTGTATTTTCAGCGACATTGTGCCCGGTAAAGAAAGGGGGTGTGACAGGTCTGCCTACCACTTGGTTTTATGCACCAAGGTCGTTATCTTTTGCTCTTCGGTAAAATAGCCAAGGTAGTACTGGATGAAGGGAACACAGAGATGAGCCAAGAGCTGCTGTCCAACACGAAGTTAGTCAGCTACGGATACCAAATCGAGATCATACCCTCCGTCAATCCATCGGAAGCCTCCTTGTTGTCTAGCTGTGCAATTTCTTGGCCTTTCTCGCGTAGCTTACTGAAATGAGACATAATATTCGTGCTTGGCGGGCCAAGGTGATAAGGGAGGCTGAAATAGGGGCAGGAGGCGTGGTTTGGTTTCCCTCTTGTATTGGGTGATGCGCTGTGTCTCGGTCTGGCGATTGAACGGAAAGGAGGGGTGTGCCTGTAGAGAGTGTGGCTGCTTTTTTCGGAACATGCTGCTCGTGAGGGCGGAAATACCGCGGCTGTAAAAGCGTCGATACGGCTGCGGGATTGCAATATAGATAGTGTGATGAGGCCACGGAGAACCATTTTCGGCATGAACAATATAGGTAGCTGATTACCACCCCATGCAGCCTCACCCTCCTCTTCACCTTCCGCCGGGTACTGCACGCGGATCATGCGAGTCCTATCCGGCCCGCCCCATTTGAGAAATCCAGGCCATATCTAGCGGCCCGGTGACGGCTTAATGACGGCTTGGCTTTGGGGAGCCCCGGCCATGCGCTGCCAATGCTCGGCACCACGGGCCTGGCCTGGCTGGCCTTGCAGCACGCTCCCCGGGCGCGAAGCATGCAATGGAGTGGGCGGGTTAGGAAGACGCGGGGGCGGAGCTGATGGGAGCCCTGAACCCTGTGCGGGGGCGCGCGACGTTGCTTTGGTTCGGAAGCTTGGAGAGCTCCTGAAAGGCCCCGCCCGCCTGCTTCTTGCGGCCAAACAGGAGGCCAAAGGCCAGGACGTGGGCGACCTTGGCCCAGGTCGGCCGGCCGTCTATCACCCTCTCGCGCTCCACCTCGGCCCCATCGCGGGCGAGATGGACGCGGTGCGAGTGGGGCAGAAACCTGCCCGGGTGCCAGACGTTCCAGATGACCGAGTTGAGGAGCATGAGGGTGGCCTCAAAGACGTAAAAGTAGACCTCGTATCGAAGGATCGGGCTGAGGTCGCGGAGCGCCTCCAAATTGCCGATCTTGACCTTTGTTGGAGCCGTGTGCTCGACGAGGCGGTAGATGCAGCGGATGAAGATGAGCGCCATGCTGACGTAGAGCGTGGGTAGGAGGACCTTGATGGCGCGGGACCGCGACGGCAGGCTGTCGGAGCGGATGCAGCGCCTGTGGAAGATGACAGTAGCCGAGACGAAGACGACAACGAGCCCGATCTGGATCGACACGGCGGCGAGGATGAGACCCTGGCCAATGGGCTGCTGGCCGCTGGTGGCGGTTGGGTTGGCCCCCAGCGCGACGCCGAGGGCGTTGAGCAGCTCCACGACAGCCATCAGCCCGCCAAAGATGGCCAGAACCCGGCCGGGACTGATGGGTGCCAAGTATGGAACGTAGTAGAATATGCGGCCCAGGACATGGTAGTTTGCCAGTTCTAGGAGCGGTCTTTTCTTGGAATCACAACGTTGGTCAGACACACACACACACATACACACACACACAAGACCGCCCATTGGTACTGATACGAGGACACCTCGATGTCTGCACACTTACGGGCAGATGAAGATAAAGACCTGGCTCAGAATGAAGGCGAGCAGCGGCGACCCGTCGGTGGGGAGGTACAGGTAATGGTGTGATCCATAGGCCCGGAGCGCGTACCCAGCCGTGAAGAAGACGGCGCAGAGGGGGTGGAGGCCAATCAATTTCCACGCTTTGTAGCGGCTGCCGTTTCAAGACGCAATGCGACTCTGCGGTCAGCAAGGTAGCCTGCCATGCATGGGATGCGTGGGAATAGTCTCACTGCAGTGCGACGTACTAGCACTGCCAAATATGGAAAATGGCTGACAGGGCGAAGGCGATAGCGAAGAAGATCGGCGCGCCATGGTTCGGGGCGTAGATGTACACGCTGTACAGGACTGAGGATTCGGGGGCGCTTTGTCAGTGAGTCTGCGGGAGGGGGTGAGGAACATGCAGATATCGAATTCCCCTCACCAGGCTCCCCGAGCGCCATGGCGGCACAGAGCGGGGTAGGGGGTCAGCCACTCGGAATCAGGTGGGTGTGTCGGGCGGCTCTATCCCGGGCGCGGGGGAGACGGCGATATGGGGCCTAGCGCCGGAGTCGGGCAAGCTGTGGCGGCGGTTCGGTTCGGCAGATGGGCAGTAGGTGCTAGTGTGGAAATGGGAAAGGCGCCTAGGCTGGTGCGGATCAGGACCCGAGTGGTAGTCGAAGGAGGTCTGGAGACCAGGTATCTGTCCGTGGGGGCACCAAGCAAGACTGATAACAGAGAGAGTTGGGGATGAAGAGGAAACGAGCCAGAACAGAAAACCGCGAGATCACCGTGAAGGGAAGGCTGCCCATTTTGAGTCTCTCCTCTCGCTCGGCCGCCATGGCAAGTGTGACAAGGGGAAGTGAGAAGGGAAAAAAGAGGAGCATGAGGGCGACGCGTCGATTTCATTCCCGTGGCGAAGCTGGTTGGTTGATGGGCGTGGTTGGCGGTTATCAGGCTCCCGTTTGGGAGCGAAGGCTAAACTGGATTAGGGCAATACGCTCGCCTAGACTCTTGGGATCGACGCTCTAGCTCTGTTTTGGCTAGCTCCCTCTTGGGAAGGAAGCTAAGACTCTTGCCCCCCACCTGGGACCCACGGGCCAAATCTTCCGCAATCCACAGCCAAATGTCAAAACCAACGTCACAGCAGCAAAAGTGCAGGCAGATTTTGGGATTTGGTCAACATTGCATTGATTGGCCAGGCCAAGATTTGACTACACAACAAGGGCGCGTCAGCCTGTCTGTCCACGTCTCTCCGGCAAGGAAGGAGACGGAGCGGCACCGAGTTCACATTGATGCGTACCCTATGACCCAGCAGAAGGCGACAGCACTACAGCCACGGAGAAAAGGGCCGTGGTCCAAGCCCGCACGCAGCCTGGGCACCCCTCGTCACACATGGCGCAATCGCTCCGATGCTGCGGAGCGCTCCCTATGTGATTTCAAGTAGGAGAAATATTGCTGGTTTTATAATGCTAATACGTCAAATTGTTGCTGACAAAAAAAGCATTTATCGATGGTCCATGAAGAGCGTCCCAACGAACAATTTGACCTCACCATTGCGGACTCCCGTGCACCAACCAGCGCAAATATGAAAACGTCGGTTTCTGGCCTACAGCCCACTAGATCTCTATAACCAGCTTCCCAAACTGCTTGCCTGCTTTAAGCTCGTCAAACAGACCCTCGATGGCCTCGACGCACTCGAGGCCCTTGACGGTGCGGCTGACTACGGGCCGCAGCTTGTGCTGGGCCACAAAATCGAGCATATCCTTAAACTCGGCCCTGGAACCGGCCGTGGTGCCGCGCAGCTCAATGTTCTTCATGACAGCCTGCATGGGCCAGTCAAGCACGGGGGAAAGCGTCATGCCGTAGATTGTGATGACGCCGCCGGGCTTGAGCAGCGGGATCGTCCTAATAACGATATCGCCGCCCGCCCCGTCGATAACGGCGTCGAGAAAAGGTCTAGATGGCGGCAGCATGCGCGCCAGGGCGCGCGGCCAGTCGGCGTCCGTGTACAGCACGCCGCCGGCGGCGCCCAGCTGCCGGGCGCGGGCGATCTTGGCCTCGGAGCCCGACGTGACGTAGACGGCGGCGCAGCCGAGCGCCAGGGCCATCTGCAGGGCCTGCAGGGCCACGCCGCCGCCGATGCCCGTGACGAGCACGTTGCGGCCGGGCCCGGCGTGCGCGGGGCCGCACTTTGCCACCAGGGCGCGCCAGGCCGTGACGCCGCACGACGGCAGCGCCGCGCCCTCGGCGGGGCTCAGG